ATCAAAAGGAATAAGCGATCATCGCGAAACAGACTGCTTCATAAATTTTTTTCTTATTTAATTTTTTGTTTGTTTCGTTATTTTAATGTTTTTATTTTCGTTTAGGAAACCGTCAAATCGTCATTGAATGCCAACGTGGTTCTTTGAGAGAAAAGAGCTACGTAACACGCCCTCTTTTCAGGATGGCATCGATTCTGACAAGGAGGCGCGATACCGTCGTGAAGGGGCACGGTTCATTTGCGACGTCGGCACTGACCTAAATCTGTAAGGCTATTTCCTCATATTTTTTATATAATAAATATACACATTCATCGTTATGACGTGTGTTTTACATTTCCTTATGAACTTTAGACGCTACGATACGGTGGCCACCGGCGTCGTCTACTTCCATCGATTTTTTATGTGCCATTCGTTGAAAGACTTTAACCGATACGTACTACGAACGCCGAATTTATCATGCTTCAAGAATGAGGTTGTCTTAAAACTGTGATTTTTAGGTTAGCGCTACCGGCTGCCTGTTTCTGGCCGGTAAAGTCGAAGAAACGCCAAAGAAGTGCAAGGACGTGATTCGGGTGGCGAGACTGCATCTGACCGATGCCGATTTTGCTGGCTTCGGCGAGGACCCTCGCGTGAGTTTGTGTGTTCTGCGTCCTGCGAAACTATGCCCTATGCATTCAGGAAGAAGTGATGACTGTCGAGCGGATTCTTCTTCAGACCATCAAGTTCGACCTTCAGGTCGAACATCCCTACCAATACTTGTTGAAGTATGCAAGAATCTTTAAAGGTAGTGGCCGCATTTTCGTGATCGCCACGACTTCGTTTTCCCAGTGTGTGTTACGGTTCAAAGTGATGATCCCTCCATACCGATACAGACTGAAATTTGTTCGTGTCGATATAAACTGAAACTGATTTGCGGTTCACTCCAAGCCGGCATTACCTCGGTTTTACAATTACACAGCCTACCCTTGTACCTAAGGCTCTGTTTATACCGGTATGGTCGGATTGCCACTCTCAGCGGTAACATCTAGATTCTTATTCTGATGTGTTCCAGTGCAGATCACTTCGTCATACCTTTCTTGTACTTTAGTATTTGCTCACTTTCCTCTATGATTTTCAAAAGAGAGCATGTTCTGTGATAATTCGTTCGTGATTAGCCATTTATCATGTGCTGTTTGTTGTTTTTATATCATTGAGATGGAAGGTTTTGAGCTATAAATGTTTGGTTTTAGGTGAAAAGGAGAAGATTCAGCAAATGGTGCAGATGGCATGGACATTCGTCAACGACAGTTTGTGCACGACGCTTTGTTTGCAGTGGGAACCAGAGATTATCGCCATCGCACTCATGTACCTGGCAAGCAGATTGACAAAGTTTGACATTTGTGACTGGCAGAGTCGAAAGGGCGTAAAGGGTGAGAAATGGTGGGATCAATTCGTGGAGGACTTGAGCATGGAACTCCTGGAAGGTAGCAGTCATCTGGCCGCCGGTAATCTGCTGAGCGTTCTTCGACTAGAATCAGTTATTTTAGACATATGCCACCAGGTATTGGATCTGTACTCAAACAGCAAGGAAAAGCTCCAGCAGCCGACAGTAGCGAAAGTTTCCGCATCGACCGCTGCCGGTGCGGGCCCTGCGCCAACATCGACAACCACATCGAAAGTGTCGTCTTCGTCGTCGATGCCTGACACCCCTAACGAAGCGTCGCACGTTGGTTCGCGCCCTGCTTCAAGGCCACCGCTTCCGATTACGCCAACAACTGTCGTTCCTCCTCCGCCGCCACCCCAGCCGGTCGCCGTTATGGCAGCGGCGCCTCTTCCGCCAGTTAATCCATCCGTCTTGATCCCCCCACCTGCGGTTCAGCCGTCCTATTCGTTTCCCATGCTGCCTCCGCCACCCATACCCAGTATGCCGCCACTGCCACCTGGTGTTCAGCCTATAATGAACATGCCGTCGACTGTTAACGTGCCAGCAGGTTTGACTCTGCCTCCAAATATGGCTGTACCCCCTAATGTCAATATGCCGATAAACGTGGCTGTGCCGCCGAGCATGCAGATGCCAATGGGTATGAATATGCAGTCGAACGTTAATTTACCACCCACCGTGGTTAATATGGCTGTTCCTCCGCCGCTGAACATTCCACGGCCTCCTCCGTGTATGTCTTCAGTTCCTCCTTCGTTGCCTCCTCCTCCACCCCTGAATTTTGCTCAGCCTCCTACAAGCACTTATGGTTTTCAGCCGATCGGTCCCTTTTCTCCAGGAGCAAACCGTTTCTCAGTTCGTCCAAATTTTAGTGTTTTACCTCCTATGCAGGGAACTCCAAATTTCCAGATGAATCGACCATATTTCGGTGGGCCGCCACCAAGAAGCTACTGAACAGCAGCATTTCTCTAACTTGGTACCGTTGGCTCAGCCAGAGATTATATATTTTTGCTTATCTGTTTCACGAACTGAAAATCTGAAAATGTATTTCTATTTTTGGGTATTGCTGTGAGTAAACTCGAGGGTATAAATACCGCCGCCAGATACTCGAATGAGCCACAGTGGTGATCGGCAAACGCCTATGGAAAGTTGGTTGCTTTTGGCGCGCACTCGGCCGTTTTAAGTTTCTCACATGTTACGGATTCGCAGGAGTTCCACGTCGTCACCCACGCTTTGAATTCGGAGAGACAAACAAATGATTCCTTCAAATATTTTTTGCTTTTGGAATACTTTTTTTTAAATAACTGTGCTTCTGATAATAAATACTGTTCGCACAGCTGTTAATCAGATTGTTGTCCTTTCCATTTTTATACTCTTTTTGCTTTAATTCAAATCCAAGATATCGTAATTACTGACAGGTTCATTAAACATATGTCTTCTTGTGCGTAATGGACGAAGTTCACTACCGAGGTGATATCTTTATTATTGGCGACGATGTCCAAGCAACGGGGGCATGTCTGTCGTAAATCTCGTCGGCTAGATCCATAGATCCAGTTGGTCGTCAGTGGTTTTGCCAGAACGAAACTGTATCAAACATCTGTGACCTGAGCCTCAGAGCGCGTTTTGCGAAGGGTCATTGACATTAATCAACATTGCTTGAATTTTCTGAATATGGGATGGCCTTTATCCGAGTTGTCTCTGTTAAGCTGGCTGTAGTTGTGTTGCGATTTTGCCGACAGATTTTCGTTCACTCATTCCTTGGTCTGCTCTAAGCGTAATCGTAAACTTTGTTTTGTGATACCTATATTCATTTCACATCTTTCGGTCTTTTGCTGTAAAACAGACTTCTTAGGCGATTTCATTAAAGTCTTAGACTTTCATTCATGGGTGAAGAATTTAGAGCAAAGCAGCTGCAGGCAGTTGTGTCAAAGTTAATCTCGAAACAGACAACAGCGAAAAATCGAAGACCACGAGTTAATTAAAAGAAACAAATTTAGATTAGCACATGTTCGGAAGCAATTTGTCCTTGAAAAACGCAATTGATTGATAATTGATCAATTTCTGACGTGACATATTTGTTGTTCCTATATTTTTTCACGGGCTTCGAGCAGTGTCATTGGTGAACGAAATTCATTCAGGTTTAAAGTATTTTTATATGCAGATGTTTAGATTTTGACTGAAACATTCGGTAATATGCTCTGAGCGACTGAATCTAGTACGAAAAATAGCTGCTTCTATTCGGTCAAGCCAACAGATCAAACATGCTAAACAGTTTC